TATAGCTTCTGAAAAATCTCATTTAGTTTCAAAGAATAGCTAGTTTTTGGTATGAGCATGTCAGATCTGAAAGTTGTGGGTGTTCAAGTGTTGAACTGATGAAGCATGTATTCTTGAGATATCCTGGACACATTAAAAGTCCTAAAGTTCTTTATGGCTTGAAACTGAGATCCCTATTTCAAGCCATATATTTTAAACACAAACTCTTGACTGTGATAAGGTGCTAAATCAAATATGCTTGGCAGGCCGCCGCACCTCTGTGTTGACTGTTAACAGTGCTATGTACTTTCCCATTTCAGCCAAAATGACAGCTGTTATTTCCCATTTTCAGCAGGTTTACCACATATATAAGAGGGAAGGTGGGGTGAAGGGGGAATAAATTTCAAACCATTCTTAAGTTTCATAGTGCAAAATATAGTCAGAGACCAGACATAAACTCCTTTATCTACTGTTGAGGCCTAATTCTTGAAGAACTGCTTTTCAAACAGTAATCTGTTTCAAACTGCACATCTATCTTCTTGATAGATAAAAGGAAAGATGTAGCAACTAGTGGTTTGTGTGGCAGAGCTAATTGTCAGTGTTTATTGAATACCATATAAGTTATCTATTGCTAGGTAACAACTTACCCCAAAGTGTAGCAGGTTAAAATAACAAGCATTTATTATGGGTTCTGTGGGTCAGGAATCTGGGAGCCTTTTTAGCTGGGTGCCTCTGCTTGTCTCTTATGAAGTTGCAGTCAAACTGCCAACTGGGACTGCTGCCTCATTGAAGGTTTCACTGGTGGAAGATGCTCACCCACATAGTTGTTCATTTCCTTGTCACCTGAGTCTCTCGGTAGTGTAGCTGACAACATGGCAGCCATTCTTCTTACTCCTATTTATAACACCAAGCTCTCCCCACCTCTGGAAGCTTTGGGTTCATTTTCTTTGTCCTCACTGTACTAGACTTTCACAGTTAACGTGCCTTGATGTGAATGAGGTGAAATAATGAATGTGAAATGGTAAAATGGAGGATCTAAAGAACCATGGTGCTCAAGCATGATGGACTGTGAGCTAGGGAAGAGCTGGAAATAGAAAGAGAACGCTACATGAAACTGGGAGCAGGAAAGCTAAGGTTGATGATCCAGTCTTACCTGGTATCTTCCCCAAGTCGGAAACATCCAAATGCCTTCCCTAAGAGTTACCAGTCTCCAGCAGAACTTCCCTGTTCCCATTCAGTTGTGGGGCATAATAGGCTCATAAGTCATTGTTTCTTGTTTTGTTTTTTTTTTTTGAGTTGGAGTCTCACTCTGTCATCCAGACTGGAGTGCAGTGGCCGCTCCCGGCCACCGCAGCCTCGACCTGCTGGGCTCTGGCGATCCTTCCGCCTCAGCCTTCCAAGTAGCTGGAACTACAGGCGCACGCTACCACGCCCGGCTAATTTTTTATTTATTGTAGAGATGAGGTCTCCCCAAGTTGCCCAGGTGGGTCTCGAACCCACGGGCTCAGGCAGTTCACTCACCTCAGCCTCCCAAAGCGCGGGATTACAGGCTGAGCCACCGAACCCGGCTGTTTGTTTTTGAGGTGAAGTCTCACTCGGTCACCCAGACTGGAGTGCAGTGGCACACTCTCGGCTGCCACAGCCTCAGCCCCCTGGGTTGAGTCTTTCTGCCTCAGCCTTCCAAGTAGCCGGAACTACAGACGTGCACCACCCTGCCCAACTCATTCTTTTAATTTATTGTAGAGACGAGGTCTCGCCAAGTTGTCCAGGCTGGTCTTGAACCCCTGGGCTCTCCCAAAGTGGTGGGATTATAGGCGTGAGCCACCATACCCAGCCCAGTGTTGTTCTTGAATTAACCCAGCAACACAGAAAGGTTGCTTAAACTATTGGATTTGGTACCTTCTTTGGTCTTACTGTAGCACTGTGTGATTTTTTTTTAAGTGACGTTGGATAAATATGTCTTAAATCAGAGCATAAATGTGAAAATACTTCATTAATTTTTAAACAGTATACAAATTAAGTTTGGGGATTGCTAATGTTGGAAAAACTAAACTTTCTATATGTGTGGAAAAGAAATTGAATGATATAAAATACAAAACAACAGTGTATAACCTTTTGTGAGAGACCACTTTCCTAATACTGACAATACTGTGTCAGTATTTTCAACTATTTTGGAAGTATCTGCATTAAGCTCAGTAACATGTTAGTTATTGTATGTGGAGTTTATGGTAATTTTCTACTTCCTTTCTCATGAGCAAGTGCATCCTGCAATTTGCTCTCTACACTCCAAATTGCTCTTGAATTAGAAAGGTTATTCTGTTTTTTCTTCCGGTCTTCCCTTTTTCTTTACAATCATGTATACTCAGAAATTACTTTTGGGGCAAAGGCAGATAGTTTAGAAAACTGAGCTCTGATTTTTTTTTTTTTAATTCTTTGTCAGTGATTTCCATATTGATGGAGAGAAATTACTGTGCCAATGCAAACAACTGTCAAATGAATCTTTGGAAATATAGTACAATACAGCCTGCTATCCAGCAAGTTCCAGGACCTTTAGGAGCTCCTGCTTAGGTGTACCCCACTACTTAGGCGTTTTCCTTGGCATTTAGAACAGACTTGCTTCCATCACTGCCATGCTGCACATGGAAGTGGTAAAAATGAAGAACTGATTTCCTCTCCTCCATAGCCTATGGAATTATTATAGACCTGTATTTGAAATAGACACTGACTTCTTTTGTCTCTATCTAAATATGTTAAACAGATATAGTTCATGCTGGTTGCCCTATTTAAACTACAATGAATTAAATGGGTTCTGTTCTAAATGAAATTTTTTTAGTACTATGTACCAATGAGTTGTTTTTCCATCTGTTCCTTACTCTTCACAATACTACCTTGTCTTTTAAAAATATTAGACGTCTAATGTTCATAACAGGTTAGGAAATTGCAAGAAGGCTTAAAGAGGATTGAGAAATAATATTTTAATGTATCCAGAAGAAGAGAACTTTTTCATGAGTGTTGCCAAGATGGAAATGAGCTAGGGGGAATCATTTGTTAAAGGAAATTTGAAGAAGCTCCAAGGAGGGTGGGGATGAGGTAGACTGAGATGCAGCTGAAGTTGAAGGGAGATGGGATAGAGTTGCCTCAGCACAGCTAAGCTTAAGTATTTATGGAGTCCTAGTATTGTGGTGAGATTAAAATGCATAAACTTTAATCTTGCTTTCAGGAATCAAGAATCCAATTGGAAGGAGAAAAATTATGCACATGAAACAGAACATTAAGTAATGTTAGTGCTGTCCTCAGTGGGTACAATAGCTTAGAGAAGGGAAGTATAGAGTAAGGACTGGAATGGCTTTTGAAGAATGGTTAGGATTTAGATAAGGAACAGAAAAGAGACGTATTCCAAATGCATTTAGCAGCCAAACCAAACAATTTTTTAAAACCATGCCACTTTACAAAGCTGTAGACAGACACACAAACGCACAAGATGTAGACAAGAATTAAGGCCAGCAAAAATTGCCACCAAAAAAGAAGCAAATATAATGAATAAAATATTTTAGTTATGCATTTTTATTTAAAAATTATTTTACAAACAATAAAAATTATAACAAATATAATAAAAGACTTTACAAAAGTTGAGAAAAAGTATATGCCCAAATAGGAAAATGGGCAAAGTACTTTAGCAGGAAAATTGCAAAATAAGAACTATGACTGGCCAGTAGACACATCTTAAAAGATTCAGCCTCAGTAAAAAAGAAATGTAAACAATAAAATTCAAGTTTTCTTTTATGAGATTAGCAGTGGTTTAAAAAGTAAGACTTATGAATGTGGGGAAACAGGAACTTACACACTACTGGTGGGAATTTAAGTTCTTATGGCAGCGTGGCAATAAATCAAGAACTTTTTAAAAAGGAGCATACTCTCCAGTGTGGCAATTCTGTTTCTAGGAGCTATCCTAAGGAAATCATTAGAAAAGATAAACACAAGAAGTTCACCCTTTATAAAAGAAACATTGGAAACACCCCAAAAAACAATATGACTGTATTAACATGGGAATGAGAAAAAAACAGATGGTGGAGTATCTGGTATCACATGATCCTATTACTATTGAGAATGGGTACTTGGGAAATGTGTATGTATGTTTGTATCCACATACACCTAGGGGAGTCAGGAAGGTTATATGTACCACATTGTTCATCACTTAACTCTGGATGGCTGGACAACTGGTGATTTTTATTTTCTCCTTTTTGCTTATCCATATAATAAACATGTATTCTTTCAAAAAATAAATTCTAAAGAAAAACAGAGCTTGAGAATCAGAATAAGGAGTAGGTACTTACAGTGCCCATTAAGAATGCATTTTCTCAGGATCTGGGCGTGCTGGCTCATGCTTGTAATCACAGCATTTTGGGAGACTGAGGAGAAAGGATTCCCTGAGCCCAAGGTTTGAGACCAGCTTGGGCAACCTGGCAAAACCTCGTCTTTTCAATAAATAAAATAAATTGGCCAGGCATGATGGCATGCGCTTTTGGTTCCAGCTACTTGGAAGGCTGAGGTGGAAGGATTTCCTGAGCCCAGCAGGTCAAGGCTGTGGAGGCTGTGAGTTTGCCACTGTACTTCAGTCTGGGCCACAGAGTGAGATTCCAACTCAAAAAAAAAAAAAAAAGAATGTATTTTCTCTCTACTTATTTAAATGTTAAGGAAACTGTAATGATGTTGATTAGGTTCTAGGACTTATAGGAATTTGACGTGGAAAGATTCCCACCCCTCCTACCCCTTCCCCACTTGCCTAGAAACTAACCGAACTGAGACATTTTTTCTTTTAACTCTTAATTGTACGTCTGTATAGTTGATAACTGCAGGATATGATTGGTTTTTCCAACAGTTACAGACTAACAGTTTCTGTTGATCTATAGTTAAAATCTTTGACTCAGAACTTCAGAAGCTTCTGGCAGAATCTGGGTGTTACAGGTTTACACTTCCTTGATCCTTATATTCATTTTATCCTTTCTTTTGCTCCTATTTAGATTCTGTCATAATGAATGGATCCAGTGTGGTGAATACATCGCCCAATGTAAAATCCAAAGAGGACCAGGGGTTAAATGGGCATGATGAGAAGGAAAACCCATTTGCAGAGTACATGTGGATGGAGAATGAAGAGGATTTCAACAGACAGGTAGAGAGAGAACTGGAGAGTTAATGATACGTGTAACTCAACAGCTGTAATATTCTACTGCCAGTCTGTTACAAAAGAAATGGATGTCATTGGCTTTAGAATAACTTAAAAATACATGGAGACCTCATATGAAATGACCAAGAAACATCTTCAGCTCATAAGAGATCAAAGTGATAATACCTTGAAGGACAATATTATTATTTTTCTACTATGCTGATTAAAAGAGGACACAAACGTCAAACTGATCAATCAGTGAGTAGCTGAAATCCTCACCTGATGAGCCAGTGTGTAACCAAATAGATTTGCATGTAACTCTACACTGTGATGTACCTTCTACGTGTAGTTCATATCACACAGTAACCACTGCAGAGAGGCTCTGCCCTCAGCCTCATTCTGGCTAGATTTGATTATTGGATGTCTCAAAGCAACCGTAAACCACTCTAGGAGATTCTCAGAATTTAAATCAAACAGGACTCACCTGGATCCCAGAGGACTGACTTTAAAACCCTTGAATCAATCCAAGGTCTTGAGGTCCTTTATCCTGCCCTGATTCCAGTTTTAGTCCTAGGAACCACTGTGATTATATAGCTCTCTATAATGATCAATGTGAAATTACTTGCTTGAACTGTGGAGCAGTTAAAAACAGAATGGTAATGAGGTTGTTTTCCTGTACTTTGTGGTTTGTTGCTTTCATTTGCTTATAGGAAATATGTGAAAAATGTGAAACTCTACGTTTCATTTAGAAAAATATGCAGACATAAAAGAAGTTGAAGAACTCTATGTGAAGATAAGTATGTTTTTCATGAGATTTTAGGATGGTTGTGTTTGGCTTTTCTGTTGCCCTACCAGTTCCATTTTGCCTTTATCTAGCCTCTGAATGAAAAATATGTTGTTGAAAGTATAAATAGTTTTCAGTAGCTTTGATAGTACTGACATGCTCTTAACTCCACTGATTGAGATTGCACTGGGACTATTAGGAGCCGTATGTCTGAGCTGTGGGTCAGCTGTAAACTCCTTTATGTAGGAGTTTAGTAAACTGAGTCAGGATGCATGGGAAAGTGCTAGAAAGCTGGGAACTTGCAGAAACAAGCACATGCGCATGCACACACACACGCATACACATATACATGCCCCACACAAAGAATCTGAGGAAAGACTATTGAGAAGCTTTAAAAATTGTAGTAACAGGCTGGGCGCAGTGGCTCAAGGCTGTAATCCCATCACTTTTGGGAGGCCAAGGCGAGAGAATTGCCTGACTTCAGGGGTTCGAGACCAACCTGGGCAACTTAGTGAGACCTCGTCTCTACAATAAATAAAAAAATAAGCCAGGCATGGTAGCACACTCCTTTAGTTCCAGCTACTTGGAAGGCTGAGGCTGAAGGATCACCTGAGCCCAGCAGGTCAAGCTGCGGTGGCTGTGAGTGTGCCTCTGCACACCAGCCCAGGCAGCAGAGTGAGAATCTGACTCAAAAAAACAAAAAAAAAATGTAATAACATGTTTTAGGAGAACTAGGTAAGCAGAGGCAGCTATATCCTTAGCAGCTTCCAGTATTGCAGTGAATACCAAGCCTTAAGGAAGACTGAGCAGGTAAACAATTGCTCAAATTGCTCCAACCCTAATATTTCACAGGTAATACTGGCTTGGCAACATTTTTTGAAACTGGTATATAAATTCAAGTCAGGGGATTGACCATTTCAGAGAAGCCTTCTTTTGTTCCTCCTTTGTGAGCAGGGGGTTTTAGGAATCTGGGGTGTGACTGTTGTCAGTTCTCTCTGTACACCTACCTATACATTACTTTTTCACCATGGTGAACTGCTTACCACCACCAGCCCCTGTTCTATTACTAGTATAGCTTTCATGGCAGTTCAGAGGTGGTTTTGCATACCATGCTCCTTGAGTTGGATCTTAAGGAGGAAGAAATTGGTTTCTAGCTAGCACCCCTGATATAATATCTTCTGACTTTCCAGTAAAATATCTAAGAAAACAAAGAATAATATGAAAACAGCTTACAACCCCCAAAACTTGGAGTGACATTCATTTTTCTGTTGAAAAGATTTTCATTGACTGTGAGGCTGATAGAACTGGATTGAAATGTAGTTTGGAGGAGGAAAAAAGATTAAGTCTCAATACAGGTAGTATCACCCATTCAAGATCTCCGAAAGTATAGCTCAGTAAAGAAGAGGCGTGAGATCTGACTGGTCACAGTGGCTCATGCCTGTAATCCCAGCACTTTGGGAGGCCAAGATAGGAGGATTGCTTGAGGTCTGGAGTTCGAGATTGGCCTGGACAACATAGTCAGACCCTGTCTCTGCCAAAAAGAGAATAATTCAGCCAGTATGGTAGCGCATGCCTATAGTCCTAGCTACTGAGGAAGCTGAGACAGGAGGGTCGCTTGAGCCCAGGAGTTTGAAGATGCAATGAGTTATGATTGTGCCATTGCACTCCAGCCTGGGCTACAAAGAGGGACCTGTCTCAAAAGTAAAATTTTTTTTAAAAGACCTAACATATTAGTTATGATTGTGAATGGTTTATACCCCCTCCACCTACATGGAATATGTTTTTGTTTTTTAAAAGAAAAAAGGATCTTGCTATGTTGCCCAGGTTGAACTCAAATTCCGAGGCTCAAGGAATCCTTCCACCTCAACCTTGTGCACTACTGCACCTGGCTAGGATTTTTTTTTTTTTTTAGTTGGGTTCTCACTCTGTTGCCTAGGCTGAAATGCAGTGGCATGATCATGGCTTACCATAGCCTCACCTCCTGGGCTCAGGTGATTCTTCCATCTCAGCCTCCTGAGTAGCTGGGACTATAGGTGCACACTGCCACGCCCAGCTAATTTTTTGTTTATTTTTTATAGAGATGAGATCTCACTATGTTGCTTAGGCTGGTCTCAAACTACTGGGCTCAAGCAATCCTCCCATCTAGGCCTCCCAAAGTGCTTGGATTATAGACATGAGCCATACCTGGCCTCTAGCTAGAATTTTTAACAGAGAAGAGAAAGAGACTCAGTTGGGTTAAGGGAGGAAAAGGGGAAAAGCTGATTATGTGCATTTTGCAAGATACACTCTCACTTGCTACCTATGCAGTGTGTAGTAAGTAAAAGTCAGGATCAGTATATTCCAAGATGTCAGCACTATTCATTCATGTGTGGGTGTTGAGACTAACGGTGACTTTTTTCTTCCAATTTGGTGTTCTTAGTTCTAATTTCTCAACTTTTTTTTTTTCTGAGACAGGATCTCACTCTCACCTAGGCTAGAGTGCAGTGGCAATGATAGCTCACTGCAGCCTCAAACTCCTGGGCTCAAGTGATCCTCCTGCCTCAGCTTTCCAAGTAGCTAGTACCACAGGCTTGTACCACTACTCCCTGCTAATTTTGTAGGGGGTCTTGCTATATTGCCCAGACTGGTCCTGAACTCCTGCCCTTGAGTGATCCTCCCACCTTGGTCTCCCAGGGCACTGGGATTACAGGTGTGAATCACTATGCCCAGCTAATTTCCCAAATCTTATACAAAGAAAATAGATTACTTCTGTAGTAAGGGAAACAGGCTCACATATAAAGGCCCTGAAAGAGAAATATCTGAATTAAAATGCTTCAGAAACGGAAAGTATAAAAAATGGACAGAGAAAATGCCAGAAAATTTCAAACACACAGAAAGTAGTATCAGTACTAGATAAAATGGAAACTGAAGGGACAAAGTCAGTCGTCTCAAACCCTGATAAAGCCACTGCTTTATCTACTAAGTTTATGTAATATTCTAAATCCTTTGTTGTCATTTCCATAGTGTTCACAGCATCTTCACCAGGAGTAGATTCCATCTCAAGAAACTATTTTCTTTGCTTATCCAAGTAAGAAGCAACTCCTCATCGGTTCAACTTTTATTATAAGATTATAGAACTTCAGTCATATTTTCAGGCTCCACTTTTTATTCTAGTTCTCTTGGTGTTTCCACCACATCTTCAGTATCTTCCTGTTCTGAAATCTTGATCCCCTTAAAGTCATTCATGAGGGTTGGAATCAACTTCTTCCAGACTTTTGTTAATGTTGGTATTTTGACCTACTCCTGTGAATCGTGAATGTTTTTATTTTTTTGTGTCAGAGTCTCACCCTGTTGCCCAGGCAGGAACACAGTGGTATGATCACTGTTCACCTCAGCCTCAACTTCCTGGGCTCAGGTAATCCTTCCACCTTATCCTCCCAAGTAGCTGGGACTACAGGTGTGTGCCACCATGTCCAGATAATTTTTTAAAATTTTTATAGAGACAAGGTCTTACTATGTTGCTGAGACTGGTCTCGAATGCCTGGGCTCAAGTGATCCTCTCGCTTCAGCCTCTCAAAGTGCTGGGATTACAGGCGTGAACTACTGCACCCAGCCATGAATGTTTTTAATGGCATCTAGAATGGTTCATCCTTTCCAGAAGATTTTCTTTTTTTTTTTTTGAGTTAGAGTCTCACTCTGTCGCCCAGACTGGAGTACAGTGGCCGCTTCTGGCCACCGCAGCCTCGACCTGCTGGGCCCCGGCGATCCTTCCGCCTCGGCCTTCCAAGTAGCCGGAATTACAGGCATACGCTACCATGCCCGGCTGATTTTTTGATTTATTGTAGAGATGAGGTCTCGCTGCCCAGGCGGGTCTCGAACCCACAGGCTCAGGCAATCCACTCACCTCAGCCTCCAAAGGCACGGGATTACAGGCTGAGCCACCGAGCCCGGCTTTCCAGAAGATTTTCAATTTGCTTTGCCCAAATCCATCAGAGGGATCCTATCTATGGCAGCTATAACCTTGTAAAATGTATTTCTTAAATAATAAGACTTGAAAGTCGAAATTACTTCTCAATCCATGGACTGCAGAATGGATGTGTTAGAAGGCACAAACACAACAGTAATCTCCTTGTACATTTCTATCAAGTCTCTTGGATGACTAGGTACATAGTCACTGAGCAGTCATGTTTTGAAAGGAATCTTTTTTTCTAGGTAGCAGGTAGTGGGCTTAAAACATTCAGTAAAATATGTTGTAAACAGATGTGCTGTCATCCAGGTTTTGGTATTCCATTTGTAGAGTACAGGCAGAGTAGATTTAGCATAATTCTTAAAGGGCTCTGGGACTTGCAAAATAGTAAATGAGCATTGCCCTTAACTTAAAATCATCAGCTGCATTATTCTCTAACAAGAGAATCGGCCTGCCTTTGAAGCCAGGCACTCTTTTCTCTAGCTATGAAAGCTCTAGATGACATCTTCTTCCAATAGAGGGCAGTTTTCATCTGCATTGAAAATCTGTTGTTTAGTGTAGCCACCTTCACTAGCTAGATCTTCTGCATAACTTGCTGCAGGTTTTTCATCAGCATTTGCTGCCTCACCTTACACTTTTATGTTATGGGGGCAGCTTCTTTCCTTAAATTTCATGAACCAACTGCTGGCTTCCAACTTTTCTTCTGCTGCTTTCTCACCTCTCTCAGCCTTCATAGAATTGAAGAGGGTTAGGATCTTGCTCTGGATTAGGCTTTGACTTAAGAGAATATTGTGACTGGTTTGTCTTCTGTCCAGATCACTAAAACTTTTTCCATGTCAGCAATAAGGCTATTTCATTTTCTTATCATTCATATGTTTACTGAAGTTGCACTTTTAATTTCTTTCAAGCTTTTTCTTTGCATTCACAAGTTGGCTCACTGGCACAAAAGGCCTAGCTTTCAGCCTGTCTCAGCTTTTGACATGCCTTCCTCACTAAACTGAATCATTTCTAGCTTTTGAATTAAAGTGAGAGACATGTGACTCTTTCACATGAACGCTTAGAGGCCATTGTAGGATTATTAATTGGACTGACTTCAATATTGTTGTGTCTCAGGGAATAGGGAGGCCCAAGGAGAGGGAGAGAGATGGGGGAGAGGCTGGTCAGTGGAACAATCAGAACACACACAACAGTTATTAAGTTCACTGTGTATATAGTGAACTTAATCAATAACATGGCACCCCAAAACAATTACAGTAGTGACATCAAAGATCACTGATTACAGGTCACAATTAACAGATACAACAATAATAAAAGTTTTAAATATTGAGAGAATCACTAAAATGTGACACAGAGACACAAAGTGATCACTGACCTCAATAGACTTGCTTGATGTAGGACTGCCACAAACCTTCAATTTGTATAAAACCCAATATCTGCAAAGCACAATACAAAGTGCAGTCAAATAAGATGTGCCTGTGTATAGTGAGTTTTTTTTTTTTTTTTTTTTTTTTAAACTAGTCAGACATGGTTAAATCCAATTTTTGCAATGTTTTCATGGAACCTTGTGTTGGGAGTAAGGTGGGGGAATTTAGTATATGAAATAACATTTTGGTCTAATGCCATGTGTGATCTGGTGTAGACTAGTGGGAAACACAGCTTGTACAGACAGGTCAGCCTGGCAACCCCACATATGAACTTAGAGACTGGCAGAATGTGAGTCTGAGATAGAAGTGTATTAGGTAAGGAAAGCCTGGACTGCTTCAACAAAGATCTGGCAGTAATTCATTGTCTGATATCTCTGAGATCAACAGCCCAAGGCAAGCGTTCCAGATAGAAAGATGATTCTGTGCCCACTTGGCTGCTTCCATGTGTTGCTCCGCCACCCCAGGGCATATATCAGCTGAGTAGCTGAGGGAATCCTGGGACGTCTAGCAGTTGGGAAAGGGAGAGAGCCAAAGGCCAGAGCAGGAGGTTTCCTTTTAACCAAGTGATGGCAAAGTGCCCATGCCCCTTCTGGGGACATTTTGTAAAGTAGTTACTTGGCCACATCCAGGTTGGGAGGTGGCAAATGTGGTTTTAACTGAATGGCCTGGCACTCTGGGAAGAAGGAAACAAGTTTAAAGGGGACAGCCAGGAGTTGCCACCTCAGGTGGCTTACTATGTCAGGGTCTGTGTGAATAGTACATAGACCATGCTTTCTGTCACACCTCTGTGCCAGGCAACCATCTTTATTGGTTGTGCCAGTGAACAGGGGTGAATTTAATAAGGGGGGACTTGCTGTTATACTCCTAAAGAGATTCAGAGCAGCTTCTAAGGAGTCATGTTAAACCTTGTGGCTTGGTAATATTTTAAGCACTTCATAACTAATTTTCTTGAGATCGAAACATGTGTGGCTAATTGCAGTGTTGAGATACTCTTCTTGCTACCAGTGACTTTTCCTTTGAATTCATGAGGCAACTGTATAAGCTAGATTGGGTGATTATTTTTTGCTTGACCTCCCTTCTGGGGATGGCGCTAATGCTCTGGAAATCTGTCACCAGACAGCCTACAGGAGAGGGACGGCCAAACATGAACCAAGAGGCCTGTCAAAGTCACGCTAAAATCTGCAGAGGGAACCACACTCTTTACCATGAGTTAACGGTATCTGCAAAGAAGAATAAAAGTAAAATATCCTAGATATATATATTGCTTTAGTTTAGGGCAATGTTTAAGAAATGTGAAGCTGTTTCAACATTCATATAATTTCATCTTTTTTGAAAGAATACAACATTGATTTTCTTTTTTTTTTTTTTTTGAGAAAGCAGGATTTATTAAGAAGACAGAAAAGTTCCCACAATGGGCGGGGACCCAAGGGGGTGTCCCGATTATATAATTTTCTAGTACTATACCAAAAAGTACTCTTTATCTTCTAAGGTTCTGAAAGTATTTTTTTTCCCTTGGCGGGGGGTTTCCTTAACTGAAAGTGGCTAGAAGCCGAGAGCATTGGTTTTTATTTAATTTTCACTATCCAGGTAGTGAACTAGTTATATACATACTTTCTATATCTTTTTCATACTTCTTGTAAAATGAGAAATTTAAGATTGAAAAAGGAATTTCAAGCTCTAAAATGATTTTCCATAAGTGCCATACAAATGGAAAAAATTGGTGTTACATATTAGCAACCTTAGAAGATCTGTGAAAACCTTGAATATCTGCTGTTTTGAATAACTATTTTCTTAGTCTTGTTGTTGATAGAATTTGATTGAAAAAATTAAAAGTGATGTTTTTTTAGCCAGTCATTAGAAGCATCACAATTCTTAGATCCCAAGATAATTTTTAATTGTAGAGTAATAACCTCGGAAGGAAAGAAGTGGATAAAAAACTAGAAGGAATGAGTCCCCATGGGACAGTAAGTCTGAGCCACTCCCCTTTGCTTGCTAGGTGGAGGAGGAACTGCAGGAGCAAGACTTCTTGGACCGCTGCTTCCAGGAGATGCTGGATGAAGAAGACCAAGACTGGTTTATTCCATCACGAGACCTGCCTCAGGCCATGGGACAGTTGCAACATCAGTTAAATGGACTGTCGATCAGCGACGGTCTCGATTCTGAAGATATTTTGGTAAGAGCCATATGTAGGTCTATATGTGACATAGTGAAACAAATGTAGGATCTGCAGTCCTAGACTCTTGAGACCCCACAACCTTCTCCAAGTCTCTGGAACCCTCTGAGCTGCTTTCTCTACTCATCATATGGGCACTGATAAGTGAGTGCAGTGAAGAAGCGTTGCACCTCATAAACCACTGAGGAAACACTATGGTTGCCAGCATCAGCAACGTTCTCTTCTTTTTTCTTTTTTTAAACTCAGAGTTGGATGCCCCAACTTCTATTTTCTAGTGGGCTTTTCAAAGTGAAATTGGGATTAAGGATAAAAATGTGAACACAGAAGAGATTCCATTATCATTCATTGTCATTTGCTGCTGTCCTTGTCTTTTACTGTCCCCTAAATCTCTATTTGCTATAGGACTGAATGATTCTGTTATAAAAATTGCCTGTTCATTTTGCAAGAAGTGCACTCCTGAGAGGCCATTTTCCACTTACACTTAGAAAACCAGATAAATGAATCCCCTGCTTTTCATGTTTAGGTAATGTGAGAATTCTGTGAGCAATATAGTTCTCACTCAACTTTGCTGAATGATTAGGCCCTGCAGTTTGCTAAGGTTTTGAATAGTCACAAGAGAGTACAAAACCAAAGAGAATACAGAAAGATAAGGAAAAATAAAGATTGTGATATTCAAACTGGTTTGATGGAGTACCCAGATTTTCACCAAGGTAAGGTACTCAATGAATTGAAAAAAATCGAACTTACAGGTATCTGATGAGATTTTGGAAGGAAATCATCAGGAAGGAAACAGGAATCTAAAGAAGAAAGGAAGCTTACTCAGGGCTGTGTCAGGAGCTGTTGAGAACAGCCCAGCAGTGACAGCCTGAATTAGAAGGAGTTGTATTTCTTTCTCTCCCTAAAGTTAAGGGAAAGGTAGTGATAATCATGGAAACAGGAAGTCTTGAAGTGAAGCTTACCTTGAGATTTATTATCTCGTTTATTATCTCTTATTTCAGAGCAAAAGTAACCTGAACCCAGATGCCAAGGAGTTTATTCCAGGAGTGAAGTACTGAGCCGGCAGAAAGCTCTGAGGAGGACTTGTCTTTCCCCACATCTGGGGATAGTAATGCACAAAAGCGGGAAGCAGATTTGGGGGGTGGGAGGGCAAGGGGTGCACATTGGGCAAGGGGAATGGTGGTTTAATGATACTGTGACTCTGAGTAACTGACGTGCTCAGTCTTACTCTACAAGCCTCTGGTTATTTCTCCTTTGTTCTACTGACTTTCGTTTGGAGCGGTTTCCTGTTTTGTTTTTTATATTAGCTCTTTTGATTAAGGAAATTGCATTTTTTCCCCTTCATCAGCAATGTTCTGCTGTGTGTATTTAAACAAAATAAGCTGACCAAGAAAGATGGGGTGTTTAGGGAATACCCTCCTCACCCTGCTGTATACTTATCAGGGGCAGTGAGCACTTGGAGAGCTACTTGTGGAGTCTGTTAGATAGGAAGAGGGTCAAGCAGAATATGCAGGTGGTGCCAACCAGAAGCCAAGGCTCAGCACACCTGGCCCCTGTGGCTTCCTGTGGTGAACTGGGATCACCAAAGACCTGCTGAGACCATATCTCCCTGCCCTGAACCCCATTTAAGACAGACTTAGGGTACTTGGCTTATGGTAACACATTCGATGGACGATGAAGGTTGTAATTCAGAAGGGGGGGGCCTGTGGTAGCAGTTGTTTGTCACCTGGGCCATTTAGTTACTGTTGTCCTATTCTTAAGCCTCTGTATATCGCTACTCTCAGACTCACCATTTGCAAGTAAAAGAGCACTAGGGTTGATTTGCCAACTCATCCCTCATGGTATCTATTCCACTGCTTCCTCTTCACCCACCCTGCTCTTTTAAGATCTTGCTACCAAAGGCATGTGAGAGGCCTAAGCCTGGAGAAGTCATCCTTGAATCCTGTTAGTTGTGTCTTAAGTTTATTTGGGTGATTTTTTTCCCCAGCCCCATTAACATTTGGTCTTCCTGGTATCTTAATTGCCTCAAAAAAGTTTATGCATTTTTTTCAAGGAAATCTATTTTTCAGGGCACATGCTAGCAAGAAGGTTGGACACTTCTCCCTACCTCCAGAATTGTGGCAAGGAACTCAAAACCAGCGCAGGAGAGTGAGTCCTGCTCGACCTGCATGACTATATAACTGACTTTCTGGAATATTTTCAGCTATTACAAGATTTTACTGTTTCCACAAATACAGCTTTACAAGTTTCCTAGGTTGACCTCTCTGGGTGTGTTCCTTTTGTCTTTCTTGCCTGTAACTTGCTGGGGTCTTTTGTTGCTGCTTCTAAGGCACTAAGCTGGGCACCAGGAGCTACCTTTGTGTCGAGAGATGTAGGTGGCAGTGTGGTGTGTAAAAGAGAGCCCTCAGTCCTGGCCATTCTCCCAGGACAAGGACTTGCAGAGGATGAGAGTGCTTCTTTCTGACTGCTCCTGGGTTGTGTAACAGGCCTGTAAGGAAAAGATTAGGTAACTTGAAATCAAGTCAGTGTAAATTCAGTATGTGGATGTGGGGCAGAGGTTGGAAGGAAAGGACTGGGATCTGGAAAGCTGAAGAAACTCCTTTTTCTTATGAGATAGGCTAACTCCAGATTTAGAATACAAACTCATGTGTTTTTCCTATTTGAGTCTACAAGATGACATCGTTTGTAAAATGGTCTTCCATTTGCAGTAGGAATAGGTCACATTCATAGGAGAATGACTTAGGGAACTTGTATTGCCAGACATACATATTGATTCCCCAAGTCTCTACCTCAAGAGAATGAAACGTAACTCTTTTTCGGGGAGGACTATGAATAAAGAAACTGCGTTACTGCAGCTTCAGCATTCAGCTGAATTGTTGCCTCTAAAAAGGAGAGGGCGTTGGAAGTGCATGGAGGAAATCTCCCCTCTTTGGGAGCTGCTTTTCCTCCTTCAGTCTCTGTTTAGCTTCTCCAAGCTCAGAATTCTGAAGGCTGTTGGAAATGTGTTAGGATTGCACAAAGAAAGGGGCTTATCTTTCCTTCTGCAGTGCTGGACCATTTTGGATGTTCGTCTTCAGCATAGTATCACAAGGCATATTAGGTCAGGACTAAGAAAACTTCCTGCTGGTTGAGCATAAAACCTGAGGGCTGGACTTTCAGTCCCATTCAGATACAGGATATGCTGACTCCAGGTTCAGGAAGCAGCTAGCAAGGTGATTCCTTTCTTAATTCATAGGACTTGGGCTTCCAGTGATTCCTCTTGTAGCCCAACTCTTGTTGGCATCTATTTTATGTTGCGAGGTGGGAGCACAATTGTCACCCACAACACAGGCTCAGCTGGTTAGAATTTGCTACCTTTTTAGTAGAAAATGCATGTGGGTCTCGTTGGACCTTCACTGGGGAAAGGTTGGGAGCTTCTGTCTCAGACTTTTACTCACGGGAAAAGTTCTGGGTGCAAGCCAGGCTAGACACCTTTACCCTTTAACAGTGAAGCTTATATTTATAAGCGATCATTTTGATGTTGAATTTAAGCTGTTGCTTTTGTTCAAACTTTTTTTATTATTATTATTTGCATCTGGAAATTGGAGACTTTGTATAGAAACAGAACTTGTATTCCTAACAGTTGCCAATCTGGCTGGTCCCAGTATTAGTTTATTAGTGATTATTCTGATTATTTATTCGACTCTAAAATTCCAAGATGAAAATAATATATCTCTTTCTCTTCAAAAGGAAAAAGACAAAACAAAGGAATGCCTTTTCATCTTTTCCAGTCCTCTGAACTGCAGCAGAAAATTCAAGGATTTAGCCTGGGCATGAGCAGCTCTGAGTCTTTGGGCTGGTTTCTGACTACAGTAGTTGACTTTTAGGAATCACCTAAGGATCAGACCAGAAAAGATCATAAGGAAAAGGCTGGACCTTTGTAGCTCTTTTAGTTTCCAAAGTCACAATCTTTTAATTAAGGTTATAATACTAACTGTGACTTAAAATACAAGCAGCATTTTCCAAATTGTGTATGGCTGAAATGACAAAGTTTTGCCTTTATTTTGGAGAGCTTAGAAGAAAGGAGGTCAAAAAAAGAGGGAGGTCAGGGGAATACTTTGACATTTAAATATATTAGAGAGGAAAGTTGTGTGAAGAGGTGGCCAAAGCAAACAATCTGAGGGAATCTTCTTGGAATAGGGCTGCTGCAAAGCCCACGTAGACAAATGACTGCCTGAACGCCTGATTCAGGAGCCCAGGAGTCTCCCCTGCTGTGATTGGAGGGTACAGACCTTCCTCAATAAGGGTCTCCCTGCCCACAGTTCCCCACATTTCATTTCACCCCTCATCATCCTTAAGGAATCATGAGTTCTGCTGGCACCCAGAGTACCCTCTGCAGCCTCTGCTCTATTGCCTTCCACAGACTTGGCTAGTCACAATTTGGAGAGGTTTTTGGTTTATTCCTTTGTTTTGGTCTTCTCGCGTATTGAAGCTGCTATTGGTAACAGGGACAGGGGAGCAGGAAGCCAACCCAAGGAAGCATACAAGTTTCCTGCATACTACTTGGCCTTCTGCCCTTACTGCCCAACCTGCTACTGCTGATCCCAGTCTGTCTAGTCTTTAGGGGCATCATGGGAATAGGACAGCCGGATACACTAATCTCTACAGGGTGTCAGATAGGAGATTCACATTCCCCACTCCTATGGACAGGAGAGAAATCTGTAAAGGGACAGATGCTCCATCTTGGCTTCTATTTTTTAAAAAATCTTAAAAGTTCCCTCACATTTTGTTACTAGGACTCTCATTGCTGAGCCTTCTTCCCCACTCCTACCTTCTGATTGGCCACCTTTTATTTTAAAATAGTAAACATTGTAGGCTATTTAATACGATAATAAATACTGCAACAGTAAAATTTTTAAAGTAGTTTACTAGTATACAGTTACTAAAATGTGTTTATGATAAAATAGTAAAATATTTCACTCTATAAGTCAACACTAAGTGATCATTCTATCCTGTTCATTGTGACCCTTCAAAAATGTGTAATGAGCCGGGCTCGGTGGCTCAGCCTGTAATCCCGCGCCTTGGGGAGGCTGAGGTGAGGGGAT